ATTTATTAAGAAGCAAAGAATGAAATGGTTTGGTCACCTAATGAGAATGGAACCAACGATGCCAGCATCAAGAGCATACAACATGAAAATCGAAACAACAAGAGGCAGGGGAAGACCAAGAAGAAGATGGATTGAAGGAGTCACGGACAACTTGAGACTTCATAACATCACGGCATATGAAGCGACTGAGCGCGCCCTGGCTCGGTTGGCGATCATCTGATAGACTGCGACGCCTAGCGGCACAAGCAGATTTTGACAAAAGAAGAATTGTACTGCTTACTGGACAGTGTTTATACTCCTGATGGGAGATTTGTGTTAGGTAATTGTACTGCTTACTGGACAGTGTCTATACTCCTGATGGGAGATTTGTGTTAGGTAATTGTACTGCTTACTGGACAGTGTCTATACTCCTGATGGGAGATTTGTGTTAGGTAATTGTACTGCTTACTGGACAGTGTCTATACTCCTGATGGGAGATTTGTGTTAGGTAATTGTACTGCTTACTGGACAGTGTCTATACTCCTGATGGGAGATTTGTGTTATTAGGTAATTGTACTGCTTACTGGACAGTGTCTATACTCCTGATGGGAGATTTGTGTTAGGTAATTGTACTGCTTACTGGACAGTGTCTATACTCCTGATGGGAGATTTGTGTTAGGTAATTGTACTGCTTACTGGACAGTGTCTATACTCCTGATGGGAGATTTGTGTTAGGTAATTGTACTGCTTACTGGACAGTGTCTATACTCCTGATGGGAGATTTGTGTTAGGTAATTGTACTGCTTACTGGACAGTGTCTATACTCCTGATGGGAGATTTGTGTTAGGTAATTGTACTGCTTACTGGACAGTGTCTATACTCCTGATGGGAGAAATGATTTATGCACATCATTTTCAAGGAATTCTTCTGAGCACTTGAGTTAAGCATCATCATCATCAGGTGCCTTGCCGACTGGCATGGGCGATCATGTCTCTCCATAATCTGCGATCTTCTGCAGCAAGAATCAGTTGGTGTGCGACACATCTCCATGCCATGCAACAAGACTGTCAAGCATCTTCTCTCGTTGTCTTCCTTTATCCCTCCTTCCACAGATCTTTCCAGTGGTCACAACATGTTCTATTTTTCCTCTTCTCATAACATTGCCGAAAAATGATGTCTCCTTCTGATGTCTGTGACAAGTTGTCTTTGGGCTCCCGCCTCTTTCAAAACCTCTTGGTAGCTCTTTTTGGCTGTCCAGGGTATTCTAAGCATTCTTCTGTAAAACCACATCTCTGAGGTCTCTAGAAATTGTTTGGCCTGCCTACCGATTGTCCAGGACTCACTGCCATATGTTAAAACTGGATGTATGTAGCAAGCAAGAATTCTTTTTCTAACTCTCAATGACAAGGATATATTGCACAAGATGTTTCTCATTTTATAAAATGCAGTTTTTGCCTGTCCAATTCTGTTTCTTATTTCAGTTATGCATCTTCCATCTGATGTTATCCGTGTGCTCAGATACTTAAATTTCTGTACCTGTCCTAAAATAACACCATTGACTTTTATTACACATTTAGGAATAATTTGTTTCTTTGATACCACCGTAACTTCTGTCTTCCCATTATTCAAACTGAGGCCTATTCTTCCACTTTCTAACACCACAATGTCTATCATTTCCTGTAATTCTTTCTGACTTGTGTCATCAGCATAAAGTAAATTGTTTATATATTATGCCCCCCTAACCACAATTCCGGGCATTTCAATTAAAGATCTCATTATATATTCACTGTATATTGAAAACAAATCAGGTGAAAGTACACATCCTTGTCGTACGCCCCTCTTTATGCTTTGAAATGTACCTAAACAGTTGTTTATTCTTATAGCTGCTGTTTGCTGCCAATACATATTCTTTATCATTTGTAGATCTTTCCCATCAGTGTTTAATTTTCCTAACAGTTTGATTACTTCTTCATGCTTCACGCAGTCAAATACTTTTGTATAGTCTATGAAGCATAAGTACAAATCAGTCTTTACTTCTAAAGCTCTTTCTGACAATGTCCTTAGGATGTATATGGCATTGTTTGTACCTTTTCCTTCTACAAATCCACATTGTTCATCGCTGATTTCTAGTTTAATTTTGTTTCTTATTATTCTCATAATTATTCTCAGTAAATTCTTAGTCATGTGACTCATAAGACTTATTGTCCGATGGTCTTCACGTTTTAAGGTGCCTGAAATCTTTGGCAGAGCTAAAAATATGGATTTTAAAAGGTCATTTGGAATATACCCACTATTATAAATATCATTTAAAAGTTTAGTTATTATTTCAATTCCAAAATTTCCCAGTGCTTCGATTTCTTCCAGTGAGATGTTGTCTGGCCCGTGTGCTTTTCCTTTCTTTATATGATGTATTGCATCCTCAACTTCTGCAGTCATTATTGGTGGACCATCATTGTTGGTCTGCAGTTCTACATCTGGTCTATTATCATCATACAATTCCCCTATATACTCTGTCCATCTGTTAATTATATTACTATGTCCCATTAATAAGTCACCATCTTTTGATTTCAAACATCCAGTGCTGTTACATGTTATCTTTCCTGTTAACATATTTATCTTTTGGTACATGGAATGTGAGTCTTTCCTGTTGTTTTCCCCAATCTCTGTACACATTTGATTCAGCCAGGCTTCTTTAGACACTTTGCATTTGTTCACTATTTCTTTTTGTATTCTAGAGTATTCTTCTTTATCATTCTTTTTCTTCCTTCTTTCATCCATCAATTGCAGAATTTCGGTTGACATCCATTTCTTTTTTGCAACTCTATGGGTTGGTGGGATTGTCTCTTGTGATGTCTGCTGAATTGACACGCAACATATTCCACTGTTCATCAATAGTCTGTATAATTTCCATTGCATTATACTGTTTTTGTACAGTGACATTGTACTGTTCCTTAATTTCTTTATTCGTTCTAAGAATTCCTAAATTTAACTTGATGTTCTGTGGTGTTTTTCTAATGTTCTTTAGTTTTATTCTAATTTTACCTACAACTGGAACATGGTCACTTAAGCAGTCTGCTCCTGGTCTAGTTTTTGCTCCAACTAAGCTGCTCTGGAATCTTCTTGAAATCAAAATATAATCAATCTGATTGCGGACATTATCACCAGGACTTTTACAAGTCCACAATCTTTGAGGATGGTGTTTAAACCAGGTATTACCTATTATCATGCTGCGCGACTCAGCCCATGCTATTAATCTGTCATCTCACACATTCTTTTCTCCTAGGCCATAGTTACCCGTTATTCTGTACACTTTTTCACTTCCTACTTTTGCGTTAAAATCTCCAAGTACCATTGTTACTTCACAATTTCTGCATTGATCAACAGCCATGTCTAACTCGTCATAAAATGTGTCAATATCTTCCTCTGAACTATCTGCTGTTGAGGCATAAATCTGTACTAAGTTGATGTCAAATGGTCTGCCACGAAGTTTTACTAATAGTACTCTATCTGATATTGTCCAAAATCCTTTAACAGTTTTTGAGTTCTTTGGATCCAAAATAATACCAACTCCCTTACTATATTCCTTCCCACCCGAGTAAATAATTATGTACTGATCTGAATACTTTTTCCCCTGCTCCTGGCCATCGCATTTCACTAATTCCTAATATGTTGATGTTCATTCTCTTCATTTCCATCTTGATGTTATCCAGCTTTCCATTTTGTACGAGTGTTCTGACATTCCATGTACCAATGTTCATGATGTTTCTACCATTTACTTTTTCTACAGTAGCTGGATGACTGACGGGTATCACCCGTAGAACATAATGCTCCCTACCGGAGGAGGTGATTCCACCGGAATCCCCATTCACATCGTGATCTGAATTCACAATATTTTGAGGCATGATTAACTAGGGATAGTACAGCGGTGGTTTCCCCTTGCCTTCCGCCGGTTTGTGTATGGTTTGACTCCAATAGCCTTTGTCTAGAGAGACTTACCCTGCAAGGCAGCACAGGGTAGAGGTTATGGCGCCTTTTACTCGCCGATAGCCATGTCGTAGAGTTTTGAGGTATTTTATAGAGTTAGCTGTCCCACCAACTAACTCGCCTCCTCTCAATGATCATCACCTGTTTTGGTCCATGGCCACTTATTCAATAAATTCGTGGCTCACCTCTATATTTAGAGGCCTTTCCACCATCTGCCACCTGGTGGACGCGCCTAGTAGTAGGACAGGCTCCTACCCCAGGTAGGTTAAGCATCACCTGAATTAAAAAAAAAAACAATTCAGCTGTTTGAGTTGTTTTGATATTAGTACTGATTGAAAGTGATTATCATGTTCCAAGACACTGTAACACTTCTCTAGATATTCCAGTTTTGTCCACATGAGCTTGGCTTGCAAAGAATGGAAATAGTGATGTCAAACAGTTGTGAATTTAAATGGGAAAAAACTGTATCAGTTAGTATAGCCCTGGGTTGGTTGTAGGTATCATAACAAAATCTGTAATGACAGTGTTTGCCCTATTACAGACATATTGCAATTTTAATGTTTATCTATTTCTTCCAGTTAAAACCTGTATTTACACTTAATTTGTATATACTTAGCAGACACCACACAGTGCAGGGACATTAGCAGACATCACACAGTGCAGGGACATTAGCAGACACCACACAGTGCAGAGACATTAGCAGACACCACACAGTGCAGGGACATTAGCAGACATCACACAGTGCAGGGACATTAGCAGACACCACACAGTGCAGGTACATTAGCAGACATCACACAGTGCAGGGACATTAGCAGACACAACACAGTGCAGGGACATTAGCAGACACCACACAGTGCAGGGACATTAGCAAACACCACACAGTGCAGGGACATTAGCAGACACAACACAGTGCAGGGACATTAGCAGACACCACACAGTGCAGGGACATTAGCAGACACCACACAGTGCAGGGACATTAGCAGACACCACACAGTGCAGGGACATTACTTTCTAAATTGTCAAACTTCTGTTTTCAGGTGCTTCGCAAATATTCTTGTCTATGGTGCATGGACAGAAAACGACAGCAACGACCAAAACTAGTTATTGTCAATCTGCAGTGGACTCCAAAAGATGATGGTGCAGCTCTCAAAATAAATGGTTTGTATATTAGTTTGATAAAGTATACTCTTGCAAATGTGTCTGAACATTAGTTAGTTCCATGCATTCTCATTCCATTCTCAGAGACATGCCATATTTGACACAAGCTTACGAATTGTAGTTTATTTTTTCTAGAATAAATGTGAAAGCCTCACATTTCACATGCCAACAGCAATATCTATGGCATAGGTGTAGATGTTCAGCTCAAACCACAGTACAGCCGGTGTTGATGAGGCAAGAACTAAAGTAGAGCCGGTGTTGATGAGGCAAGAACTAAAGTAGAGCCGGTGTTGATGGGGCAAGAACTAAAGTAGAGCCGGTGTTGATAAGGCAAGAACTAAAGTAGAGCCGGTGTTGATGAGGCAAGAACTAAAGTAGAGCCAGTGTTGATGAGGCAAGAACTAAAGTAGAGCCGGTGTTGATGAGGCAAGAACTAAAGTAGAGCCGGTGTTGATGAGGCAAGAACTAAAGTAGAGCCGGTGTTGATGAGGCAAGAACTAAAGTAGAGCCGGTGTTGATGAGGCAAGAACTAAAGTACAGCCAGTGTTGATGAGGCAAGAACTAAAGTAGAGCCAGTGTTGATGAGGCAAGAACTAAAGTAGAGCCGGTGTTGATGAGGCAAGAACTAAAGTAGAGCCAGTGTTGATGAGGCAAGAACTAAAGTAGAGCCGGTGTTGATGAGGCAAGAACTAAAGTAGAGCCAGTGTTGATGAGGCAAGAACTAAAGTACAGCCAGTGTTGATGAGGCAAGAACTAAAGTACAGCCGGTGTTGATGAGGCAAGAACTAAAGTAGAGCCGGTGTTGATGAGGCAAGAACTAAAGTAGAGCCAGTGTTGATGAGGCAAGAACTAAAGTAGAGCCAGTGTTGATGAGGCAAGAACTAAAGTAGAGCCGGTGTTGATGAGGCAAGAACTAAAGTAGAGCCGGTGTTGATGAGGCAAGAACTAAAGTAGAGCCAGTGTTGATAAGCCAAGAACTAAAGTAGAGCCGGTGTTGATGAGGCAAGAACTAAAGTAGAGCCGGTGTTGATGAGGCAAGAACTAAAGTAGAGCCAGTGTTGATGAGGCAAGAACTAAAGTAGAGCCGGTGTTGATGAGGCAAGAACTAAAGTAGAGCCGGTGTTGATGAGGCAAGAACTAAAGTAGAGCCGATGTTGATGAGGCAAGAACTAAAGTAGAGCCGGTGTTGATGAGGCAAGAACTAAAGTAGAGCCAGTGTTGATGAGGCAAGAACTAAAGTAGAGCCAGTGTTGATGAGGCAAGAACTAAAGTAGAGCCAGTGTTGATGAGGCAAGAACTAAAGTAGAGCCGGTGTTGATGAGGCAAGAACTAAAGTAGAGCCAGTGTTGATGAGGCAAGAACTAAAGTAGAGCCGGTGTTGATGAGGCAAGAACTAAAGTAGAGCCAGTGTTGATGAGGCAAGAACTAAAGTACAGCCGGTGTTGATGAGGCAAGAACTAAAGTAGAGCCGGTGTTGATGAGGCAAGAACTAAAGTAGAGCCGGTGTTGATGAGGCAAGAACTAAAGTAGAGCCGGTGTTGATGAGGCAAGAACTAAAGTAGAGCCAGTGTTGATGAGGCAAGAACTAAAGTAGAGCCGGTGTTGATGAGGCAAGAACTAAAGTAGAGCCGTGTGTTGATGAGGCAAGAACTAAAGTAGAGCCGGTGTTGATGACGCAAGAACTAAAGTAGAGCCGGTGTGTTGATGAGGCAAGAACTAAAGTAGAGCCGGTGTTGATGAGGCAAGAACTAAAGTAGAGCCAGTGTTGATGAGGCAAGAACTAAAGTAGAGCCGGTGTTGATGAGGCAAGAACTAAAGTAGAGCCAAAGTGTTGATGAGGCAAGAACTAAAGTAGAGCCGGTGTTGATGAGGCAAGAACTAAAGTAGAGCCAAGTGTTGATGAGGCAAGAACTAAAGTACAGCCAGTGTTGATGAGGCAAGAACTAAAGTACAGCCGGTGTTGATGAGGCAAGAACTAAAGTAGAGCCGGTGTTGATGAGGCAAGAACTAAAGTAGAGCCAGTGTTGATGAGGCAAGAACTAAAGTAGAGCCGGTGTTGATGAGGCAAGAACTAAAGTAGAGCCAGTGTTGATGAGGCAAGAACTAAAGTAGAGCCGGTGTTGATGAGGCAAGAGGAGGCAAGAACTAAAGTAGAGCCGGTGTTGATGAGGCAAGAACTAAAGTAGAGCCGGTGTTGATGAGGCAAGAACTAAAGTAGAGCCGGTGTTGATGAGGCAAGAACTAAAGTAGAGCCAGAACTAAAGTAGAGCCAGTTTGATGAGGCAAGAACTAAAGTAGAGCCAGTGTTGATGAGGCAAGAACTAAAGTAGAGCCGGTGTTGATGAGGCAAGAACTAAAGTAGAGCCGGTGTTGATGAGGCAAGAACTAAAGTAGAGCCGGTGTTGATGAGGCAAGAACTAAAGTAGAGCCGGTGTTGATGAGGCAAGAACTAAAGTAGAGCCGGTGTTGATGAGGCAAGAACTAAAGTACAGCCGGTGTTGATGAGGCAAGAACTAAAGTAGAGCCGGTGTTGATGAGGCAAGAACTAAAGTAGAGCCAGTGTTGATGAGGCAAGAACTAAAGTAGAGCCGGTGTTGATGAGGCAAGAACTAAAGTAGAGCCGTTGTTGATGAGGCAAGAACTAAAGTAGAGCCGGTGTTGATGAGGCAAGAACTAAAGTAGAGCCGGTGTTGATGAGGCAAGAACTAAAGTAGAGCCGGTGTTGATGACGCAAGAACTAAAGTAGAGCCGGTGTTGATGACGCAAGAACGAAAGTAGAGCCAGTGTTGACGACGCAAGAACTAAAGTAAAACCAGTTTTGGTGACGCAAGAACTAAAGTAGAGCCAGTGTTGATGACGCAAGAACTAAAGTGGAGCCAGTGTTGATGACGCAAGAGCAAAAGTAGAGCCAGTGTTGATGACGCAAGAACTAAAGTAGAGCTAGTTTTGGTGACACAAGTCCAATTTTGTTTTTAGCTACTCTGATTTGATGACAGTTTAGTTGGTTGCATAATTAGACTCTTGTTTTGTTCATTGGCAGAGCTTCCAGTCAAAGTTTTTGGTTGCATTTTTTGCGCTTCTCCTATCAATTTATTGAGCTTTCTAGTTATACTTTAACTTGGGTCTTCAATTATTTAGAGGCAATATTAGCTGGACATTCTCTGGATGTAAGTTATCAGTATATACCATTATCAATAATTTCTTTAGAATGGCTGCAGTAACGTTTCACTCCCAAGTATTTTATAAAGATCTAACAACCTCGAGGCATGAATGGCTGAGGCTTAGAATGGTGGGCTCTCATTGAGAAGACCAGGGTTCAAATCCTTTGTGAGGTGATGGACATTTGTTGTTAATCTGGGGAGAACAAATCCTTACCTTGTGCATTTCATGGCAGCTGTACTTGCTAAGTGGCCCTTGTTACTTAACCTCAGGGGACCCTTACAGAAAGTAAAGGCAGTCTTACATCTCATCTCCATAAAGTCTCCTTCTCTTCCCTCCCCTACCTCTCTTACCCACTTCCTTTCTATCTTTATAATATAATTCAAAATTATGTCATGCAGATTGAACTAAACTTTTGTTTATGTGTTTGTGCAGCATCATTTGAACTAAACTTTTGTTTATGTGTTTGTGCAGCATCACACAGTCATAACCACCAACAGGTACTGTCATACCACGTCCGATCAGTTCCAGTCGACTATTTACACAAAATGTATACCCATTGTTCACATTGAACAAAATGGTAGGAGGAGAGATGAGAGGACAGAACCAGGAGAGCATGGGAGATAATTCTTTACAGTCACATGCAAATTGAAACAAGCACTTGGAATTTGCTGTACCTGACACACATGAACAGGAATGTGTTTAGTGGATGTGCTATACCTGACACACATGAACAGGGATGTGTTTAGTGGATGTGCTATACCTGACACACATGAACAGGGATGTGTTTAGTGGATGTGCTATACCTGACACACATGAACAGGGATGTGTTCAGTGGATGTGCTGTACTTGACACTCATGAACAGGGATGTGTTCAGTGGATGTGCTATATGTGACACACATGAACAGGGATGTGTTTAGTGGATGTGCTATACGTGACATGTGTTTAGTGGATGTGCTATACCTGACATGAACAGGGATGTGTTCAGTGGATGTGCTATATGTGACACACATGAACAGGGATGTGTTCAGTGGATGTGCTATATGTGACACACATGAACAGGGATGTGTTCAGTGGATGTGCTATACATGACACACATGAACAGGGATGTGTTCAGTGGATGTGCTATATGTGACACACATGAACAGGGATGTGTTCAGTGGATGTGCTGTATGTGACACACATGAACAAGGATGTGTTTAGTGGATGTGCTATACCTGACACACATGAACAGGGATGTGTTCAGTGGATTTGCTGTAAGTGACACATGAACAGGGATGTATTCAGTGGAGAGAGAAAAAAAAAGAGGGATCTGTTTTCAGGACAGCCAGGTTCATAGCTTTATTCTTTTTAAAACCTTGGTTTGTTTCCCTAATAATTTCTTGGTATCTCTTATATTTACAGTTGTGTTTGATGAATTGGTTGCCATACTTTCTCTGTCTTTTATCCCCCCCACCCTCCTCTAACTTTCCCAATGATATTTGTGACAAAAGAATAGGTCACACATATTTCCAGAAAGCAACTTTTCATTGCTTGTCTTTTTAAAGAATCTTCACATATGTGAGTTCTTTTGTTTATGTCTGTAGGACATTTTTAGTTAGATTCAGATGTGCTTGCTTATAGAACATTATTGACCTGTGATTCTTTTACTGTTATCGTTCATTTGAAGCAAATTAGAATTAAAGTTTTTTTTTTTTTTTAAATAATGGTGCATTCAATTTTGCTAATAATACTGCTTGTCCAACTTGTTCTACACCCTTTTTAAATTAAGTATTTCATCCAAATTTCTGTGCAAAAGCAAATATTGGCCCTCATAAACTTGTCTTATTAATTCACATTTTTTATATTTTAGAAACATAATCTAATGTTTTTTCTTTGTTATCTGAGTTACTTGTTCGTCTGCTGGTCAGGTGGCATTGCATTTGTTCATACCATAGATGAATGTTGCTTATTTAGATGACTTCCTTTGCCCATAGATGAGTGTTGCTTGTTTAGATAACATCCTTTGCCCATAGATGAGTGTTGCTTGTTTAGATAACAACCTTTGCCCATAGATGGGTGTTGCTTGTTTAGATAACATCCTTTGCCCATAGATGGGTGTTGCTTGTTTAGATGACATACTGCCCATAGATGAGTGTTGCTTGTTTAGATGACATCCTTTGCCCATAGATGAGTGTTGCTTGTTTAGATGACATCCTTTGCCCATAGATGAGTGTTGCTTGGTAGATGACATACTGCCCATAGATGAGTGTTGCTTGTTTAGATGACATACTGCCCATAGATGAGTGTTGCTTGTTTAGATGACATCCTTTGCCCTTAGATGAGTTTTGCTTGTTTAGATGACATCCTTTGCCCATAGATGAGTGTTCATTGTTTTGATGACATCCTTTGCCCATAGATGAGTGCTCCTTGTTTAGATGACATCCTTTGCCCTTAGATGAGTGTTGCTTGTTTAGATGGCATCCTTTGCCCTTAGATGAGTGTTGCTTGTTTAGATGACATCCTTTGCCCATAGATGAGTTTTGCTTGTTTAGATGACATCCTTTGCCCATAGATGAGTGTTGCTTGTTTAGATGACATCCTTTGCCATAGATGAGTGCTCCTTGTTTAGATGACATATTTTGCCCTTAGATGAGTGTTGCTTGTTTAGATGACATCCTTTGCCCTTAGATGAGTGTTGCTTGTTTAGATGACATCCTTTGCCCATAGATGAGTTTTGCTTGTTTAGATGACATCCTTTGCCCATAGATGAGTGTTGCTTGTTTAGATGACATACTTTGCCCATAGATGAGTGCTCCTTGTTTAGATGACATATTTTTCCCTTAGATGAGTGTTGCTTGTTTAGATGACATCCTTTGCCCTTAGATGAGTGTTGCTTGTTTAGATGGCATCCTTTGCCCTTAGATGAGTGTTGCTTGTTTAGATGACATCCTTTGCCCTAAGATGAGTGTTGCTTGTTTAGATGACATCCTTTGCTCTTAGATGAATGTTGCTTGTTTAGATGACATACTTTGCCCTTAGATGAGTGTTGCTTGTTTAGATGACATACTTTGCCCTTAGATGAGTGTTGCTTGTTTAGATGACATCCTTTGCCCTTAGATGAGTGTTGCTTGTTTAGATGGCATCCTTTGCCCTTAGATGAGTGTTGCTTGTTTAGATGACATCCTTTGCCCTTAGATGAGTGTTGCTTGTTTAGATGGCATCCTTTGCCCTTAGATGAGTATTGCTTGTTTAGATGGCATCCTTTGCCCTTAGATGAGTGTTGCTTGTTTAGATGGCATCCTTAGCATTATGGATGGCATTTTTGTCTTGGCCATTATAAAATCAGTCATTTTGTAATTGTCGGAGTGCATATTTACATGTATAGTTCCATTCCCACACGGGAACATCTGTTCTTAATATATTGCTATGAATAATGGCAGATGTCTTGCATGAAATTGTATACAACTAGCCAAACAGATGTGATAGTAAACAGGTCCCTTTAAACTCTATGGTAGAGAGGAGAATATAATGGTTTCAATCTGAAATCTTTCTTTAAAACCTAAATATTTCAGTTTGCCTAAGCACTGTGATTTTGATTCTGTATACATTAAACTCCATATATTTAACAATAAATTGTCCTATTTCAATGTATTCCTACAGGGAAATGTGACACTGTTATGATGAATGTGATGGCACTGTTGAATTATAAAGTTCCAGAATATAAAAGGTAAATTAGAAATTAAAGTTCACTTGATGATTTACCTTTTCTTTGCAATCCTCACTCCTAGGGTAGGAGCCTGTCCTGCTATTTGCAACACATCCACCTGGTGGCAAATAGTGGAGCGGCCACTAGATATAGAAGTTAGCCACGAATATATTAAATAAGTAGCCATGGACCAAACCATGGAATGGTATTTGAGAGGAGGCAAGCTAGCTGATCATCATCATCATCATGTAGCAGGTCCTTTGCAGAACGGCGCTCTTATGACAGTCTCTCGCCAGTTCTCCCGCCTCACGTACTTTCATACTCAAGTAGTCACTTAAATCCTTTGCCCATCTTCGTGTCGGTCAGCCCCTGTCCTGGAACCATGCCTTCTGTAATAATTGTTTCTAATCCGTCGTGGCGCTTGATGTGACCACAATATTTCAGCTTCTGAGACATTTTATTAGCCAATCTTCCTGGATGTTCAGAACTTTCAAGATGTCAGTATTTCTCCTCTTCTTTGTCCAAGATATTCTGAGAATCTTTTTATAGCATTTCAGCTCAAAAGCCCCTATTCTCTTTCTCAAGAACTGAGATAATTCACGACTCAAATCCGTATGTTGCCACAGGGAAGATGCATGCTCTCAGAATTATTTGATCTCCTTGCTGGTTGGACAGCTAAATCTATCAAATACCTCAAATCTCTGTAACATGGCTCATCAGTGACTAGGTCGCCCATTCACTCCCTGGTAGATGAGTTGGTGTCCAGTCAGGACAGTATTTGGGTCCGTCTCCTTTGCTCGCATGAACACTGCAGAAGTCCTTTTAGGCCTCTTGGTAGCGTGCAGTTCTTAGCCATTTTATTTGGTGCACCTAACTTAGTCACAGGTATAATCTTCCTTTGGGGCTGCTCGTTGAACGTGACGATTTTTCCCCCTCCAGCAAAGTGCCAAAAGTGACAGCTGTCGCCGGGTAAGAGGCACAGTTATAACCTCTCCGGTCTGCTGCCTGCAGGGTATGTCTCTTTAAACAAAGGCTATTGGAGTTAAACCAATAAATAAACCAGTGAAGGACAGGGAAAACTACTGCTATATTTGTCCCTAATAAATCATGCCTTTAAAGCAATGATATTCAGACTTTTGCTTTATTGACTGTATGAAAGTATTTGATTGAGTGAAACATGAAGGAATAATCAAACTACTAGAAAAGTTAAACATTGATGGAAACGATTTATGAATTGTTAAGAATATGTATTGGCAGCTGACAGCAGCTGTAAAAATTAATGACTATTTGGGAACATTTTAGAACATCATCATCATCATGTGCCCTGCCAGCTGGCATAGGCGTTCAAGCGTCTCCACAGATCACGATCCCTTGTTGCCTGGAACAGCTCTCTTGATGATATCCCCCCATGCCATCGTTTCAGCCCATCCAGCATCGTCTCTTTTGGTCTGCCTCTACCCTTTTTCCCCCTGACCTTCCCAGTTGTCACAATGTTCTCCAATGTCTCTCTTTTCATTATGTGGCCAAAGAACAGTGTCTCTTATTGTTGTTGTATATACAGATCTACTTTCATTAGCCTCTTTCAAGCAATCGTTGTTAGTTGATCTGGCAATCCAAGGTGTTCGTAACATTTGTCTCAGAAACCACATCTCTGTTGCTTCCAAATTCTTCCTAATTTGTTCAGTGACATTCCAAGATTCGCTGCCATACAGCAGAGCAGGTTCTATGTAACATTTTAGCACTTTCTTTCTGACATTAAATGAGAGCGATTTATTGCATAAGATATTTTTCATTTTCTGAAATACAGCTTACTTTTACTCCTGCATTTTCTTTAATTTCCCTCAGAATGATTTCACTATATAGAGAGAAAAGGTCTGGGGATAAGACACATTCCTGTCTTTACTCCTTGTTGTATCTGTTCAAAAGTACCCAATCTGTTTCCCACTTTAATTGCTGCTACTTGGTTCCAGTAAATGTTTTTAAATATTCTCTTTCCCGCCTACACTGACGTCTTCCAACATTTTTATCATCTCTTCATGCTAAACTTTGTCAAATGCTTTGGTATGCAGATTATGTTAGACGGGGCGGCCGGCTACGGACAGGGCCTTCAAATTGGGGACCACTGGATGCCGCCACTATGCGCATTTATGGATGACACAACTATAAAGCAGAAATATAAGTCTTTTTGTATGTCCATTGATCTTTCTATCAGTGTTCGTAATATGTTTTCAGAGCATAAAGAGGGGATTATGACAAGGATGTATACTGTCAGCTGATTTGTTTTTATTCTTCTTCTTCTTCTTTTTCATTTGTCATCTCACTGATACCAGGTTGTAGCCCAGCGTCCTGGTTTTCTGTATTTGTCTTGCACTTCTTGGGTGGCTTGAGTGATTTGTTTCAGCTACACCATTTATCTGTCTCTTTCTTTCATCTCTTTTCTCTCGCCTTTTTCCCCAGGTAGTCTACTGTAAACAGTCTCACATGCAGTCTGGTCTGGCTGCATTCTCACTAGATGGCCGAACCATTTCATTTGTTGTCTGTTAACATAATCCAGACATGGTCTTATTCCCACTTGCTCTCTAATGCTGGTATTGGTAACCCTGTCTTGTCTAGTGTTGTTAGTGACCTTGTGGAGACGGCATATTTCACATGTAGTTATTTTCTGTTCTGTTGACCTATTCATGGTCCATGTTTAGCACTGATAACATAAAATAGGGACTGTAAGGTGAGTAAAGTAAAGATCCCTTTTCACGCCTTAAGTGCATCGGGCATATGGGAAGAGCACCCATATTTCAAGAGAACAATTGGCACTAGGTGGGTAATGTGGTCAGCATTACGCCGGCCCTCTTTACTTTCCCAGGTCAGCCATCCTGGTACTAATTTTAGGCTTGGTCGACCTGCGACGCCTCATACCAGGATAAAAATCCTTGCAGCCAGCAGTGGGTTTCGATCGCAGTACGGTGGAATTACAAGTCGGACTTGCAGCGACTAAGCCACGGGAGCCGCTGAAATAGGGATACAGATGCTGTTAATAATTTGCTGTTTTGCTGGAAGAGAGACATTTGGGTGTCTAAGCAGTGGGGCTAGCTGGTAGGTGACAGCATTTTCCTTCTGTACTCTGGTTTCGATCTCTTTATCGAGTCTGCCATCCGTAAATTTCATAAATTTACTTCCTAGGTATTTGAATTCTCCAACTTGTTTGATTATAGCACCGTTAACATCAGCGTTCATGATAATGTTTCCTGCCTATCCTCATTACTTCATTTTTGGCCGTGTTTATTCTCATGTCATACTTTGTGCAGGTTTGATGTCAGGAGTCAGTATGGTGTTGTAAATTCTGTTCTTGGTGGTGTGTTAGACATTGATCGTCTGCAAAAAGAAGTTCGTTGATTTCTTCAGTGTCTGTATTTGCCTCTTGTGTTATTCTATCCATGTAAGTAATGAATAGCAAGGGTGAGAGGACACATCCTTGTCTGACACCTGATGAGATGGGAAACCAGTCTGTCATTCTATCTGTTGTTCTTGCTGTGCACTGACAGTCTTGATAAAGAGCAATGATGTTACCTAACAGTTGGTCTTGAATATCGTAATCTTCTGGAATTTTCCATAGTTTTGTTTTCATTATACAGTGTATATATAATGAGATCTATGATGGATATACCAGGAATTGTGGTTGGAGGTCATAACATAAACAGCCTTCGTTGGAGCTCCAATTCCAGTGGCCCCAGTAACCGTCTGATTGAATATCCGTCTCGCCCTTTCCCTGAGTGTTGAACGTGTGCCAGATGGCCTGGTAACTCCTTGTGGTGCCATTCTCCTCAGACTAATGATCTATCTGTGCCTCTGTACTGTTCACTAGCTTCCAAAGGGCCTTCACAATATCTAGCTTGTCATACATCAATTCACCACTAAGTGGTGCAGAGCTAGCCAATCTATCTGCCTGCTCATTTCCCAACACAGCAGTGTTACCTGGAGAAAATATCCACAGAATGCTAACTGACGAAATCTCTGAAGTGATGCTTGCCACTCTGCACGGAGCATGCCTGTCTCCACCCTTCTCAATATGGTCTATGAGTCAGTTATAAAATCACGCATGTGTGTACAGCTGATTCGCAAGCCAGCTGAAGGCTGCAGTGACTGCCTCCACCTCTATTTTCAAACTGGATGTTGTGATATCATACACAAGGTTGTGTTGCACTAAGCGACACCCATTCCCTTTTGCTATGAACACCCATGCACTGTCTGCCCCTCAACACAGAGCCATCTGAATAGATAATCACATCACTTGGGCTGACCTGACTTTGAACCTTGCTTTTCACCTGGGAAAAGACATACTGATCTTGAAAAAGACAAATCAGCCTGGAATTTTGACTGCATCAATAGGATCATTTATAAAAACCTGCGATTTTTGGCAGTTAGGCTATTTTTGGCTACCTGTGTTTTAAATGTTTATAGTCGTTTCCGGTATGAGGGCAGTTAATTATCAGCCATTTTCAGCTAAAATGGCTTGTTAAGGGCTAAGGATAGGCGGGCTGTGTTGCAGCCCATGGATAAAAAAAAGTCAGGAGATGTGAACCAGTGTTATTGCACACCGTTGTAAACCATAAGTGATCTGCCACCAGTACGGACATCTGATAAGAAACTGTCTGCCTGTGTCACCGTCCGCATGAAGCTTCTTAGCTACAGCGACATTCCTCCATTTACCCCAGAGTGTTAACTCTGGTACCCATTACCTGGAGGCTTGGTAACCCCGGGAACCGTCCACTTCCAAACACTGGCCGTGGGCTGCAGCGAATCGCAGCTGGGTTTGAAAGTGGGTCTCCTATTGACTGCGTTAATGCGGCCCATTGACCTTGGCTCCCAGATCTACCAACCTTGAGTGTAAGAAATGAAACTGTTGCAGTCACACATGGAATAGACAGCCAGACAGACAAGCATGGGGGCGGGAGGAGTCTACACCGTTGTTTATGGGCCACATTCACATTGGGAGAGGGTGGCAACCGGAAAAGTGACTCACTTAAATTTCTCAGTTCTGTTGTGGCCCTCAGTGTTCTTACTGCCACCCCCCTCCCAATCATGTCTTCCTGTCCTTTTCTCACCCCTTCTCTTTCCTTTCATCTTCCACTCTTCTACACCTCTCCTCTCCTTTATTCTCCATCCTTCCTCTCTTCCTTTCCTTACTCTGTTTTCTCTTGCTCTCTCTCCTGCCAAATCGCCAGAATGTAACTGACCAAGCTGACTCTTGTTATCTTCTTGTTCATGTTATTGCCTTCTTCAGCTGCTCTATCACAGGCTTAATCAGATCTTTGAAATGTGGAAGCACTGCCACAGCTTAGCCTGGCCTAGTGCTCCTTCATGTCATATAGTCACAGCACCACTCACAGCCGTTTCTAGCCTGTATCTTCCAACATGGATTACAGGGATTAGGCTATTCCAGTTATAGAATTTCTTTTAAAAAATGGGGAAAATAATTATTAAACTAGGCTGATAAATAACTGAGTTATGACAGTTTGAATATTTTACCTATATAATTAAGTTAATAAATAGATCACTTTTTTAATATATTTTTACTGCGTTGTGACACATCTCAAAAAGTTAATAATGTATTGTATCTAAACTTGGCACACACACAGGAAAATGACATCGCAACAGACTGAACTAGAATAAATAAAGCAGCTTTAATACTGTATGAGTTTTTGTCATCTATGATAACCCTTACCCGTATTTTTTTTGAGAAAAAAATTGTGTACCACATAAATAAGCATAACTTTTAAACCATAGTGTTAAGTGAATAGTCTTTTGTTCTTAGAGTTTGACATGTAACGTTAAATTTATGTGCACATTTTCAAGACCATCTTTATTAGTTTTTTAAATATATTTTTTTAAATGTTGAGTACAGATTTCGCTATTTTCTGCATAAAATATTTCCATGAACATATGATGAGTTTAGCCACTAAAATTAATATTCCTTTAATCTTTAACTAGTATGTACCTATTGTTTCCAGCAGATACAATCTTTAACTAGTATGTACCTATTGTTTCCAGCAGATACAATCTTTAACTAGTATGTACCTATTGTTTCCAGCAGATACAATCAAATTCAGTTTGGGGGTTTAACCTGTCCTTAAAGTATCGTTTGCCCGCGTTGCCCATAGGATGGAGATTGCCTTGCTCTGACTCTCTCTACCTTAGTCCCCCTCTGTCTTCCATATTCTCTCATCTTTTATCTCACTATATTCTCTTTCCCTCTCCTTTCTGCCCTACCTTTATCTCCCAGCTCTTCTTCCTTTCCCTTACCAAGTCCTTTTTCTCTCCTCTATGATCTTCCTCTTCTGTCCCTCTCTTCATTCTACGGCGGGTAGTATGATCGCCAGAGCAAGATTTTAATGCTGTGACAGATATGTCATCTTTACCGCTGTGGTCAGGGCTATTAAAATGAAGAGGGATTGGTTTGAGTGTCTTCTTGTCGATATCGGAGAGGTGTTCCTGGAAACGATCAGCTAGCTTCCTGCCAGTCTCCCCAATGTATGCCTTGCTGCATCGTTTGCAGATAATTGCATAAATTACGTTGCGGGATTCGCAAGTAAAAGGTTCCCTGATTTGAAAAGAACCATTAGGGAAACTGACCGAAGAAGTCTGGACAACGGTAAAGATGACATATCTGTCACAGCATTAAAATCTTGCTCTGGCGATCATACTACCCGCCTCGCTTTGGAAAATCGCCTTATCCACAGCCTTGGCGTTCTTAGTCCAAGAGGTATCAATATCCAACATACCTTCATCTAAATAGTTCTAATCTTATCACATTTTAAATGTTAATTATTTTATTTTATTTCATATTATTACCTTATTCTATTTCTTATCAGTATCATTTATGCTTGCATTTATACTTGCATTTCTTTTATTCCCAGTATTGTGACTATATGTTTTAGCCATCGTTTATTTTATATTTCATTTATTCCGCATCACATTTTTTTAAACGTCGCTCACGTCACCCCTTAGAGATCTACATACTCTCCATTCCTCGTTTGTGTCTTTCACTTGTGTTTAAAAAAAAGGCTGCCCGGCCGAAACGTTACGTTGTGTTGTTTTGTGCACGTTTTCCTCTTTCCCACTTTGTTGAGCTTTTTAGTCAAATTTCTCTGGAATTCATTGTATTAGCTTGACTGCAGTCACCCCCATAGTATCACCATTAATAGAGAACACAGTTGGCCATCACGGAACTGTTGGAACCTGATCGTGTAATGCTCCAGTGTTAACAATAAGGAACTGCTGGAACCTGGTCATGTAATGCTCCAGTGTTAACGATGGGGAACTGTTGGAACCTGGTCATGTAATGCTCCAGTGTTAACGATGGGGAACTGTTGGAACCTGGTCGGGAAATGCTCCAGTGTTAACGATGGGGAACTGTTGGAACCTGATCATGTAATGCTCCAGTGTTAACAATGGGGAACTGTTGGAACCTGATCATGTAATGCTCCAGTGTTAACAATGGGGAACTGTTGGAACCTGGTCATGTAATGCTCCAGTGTTAACGATGGGAAACTATTGGAACCTGGTCATGTAATGCTCCAGTGTTAACAATGGGAAACTGTTGGAACCTGGTCATGTAATGCTCCAGTGTTAACAATGGGAAACTGTTGGAACCTGGTCATGTATTGCTCCAGTGTTAACAATGGGGAACTGTTGGAACCTGGTCATGTAATGCTCCAGTGTTAATGGGGAACTGCTGGAACCTGATCGTGAAGTGCTCCAGTGTTTAAAATGGGGAACTGTTGGAACCTGATCATGAAATGCTCTAGTGTTAACAATGGGGAACTGTTGGAACCTGATCGGGAAATGCTCCAGTGTTAAAAATGGGGAACTGCTGGAACCTGAACGTGTAATGCTCCAGTGTTAACAATGGGAAACTGTTGGTATCTGATCATGTAATGCTCCAGTGTTAACAATGGGGAACTGTTGGAACCTGATCGTGAAATGCTCTAGTGTTAACAATGGGGAACTGTTGGAACCTGGTCGTGAAATGCTCCAGTGTTAACAATGGGGAACTGCTGGAACCTGATCGTGTAATGCTCCAGTGTTAAAAATGGGAACTGCTGGAACCTGATCGTGAAATGCTCCAGTGTTAACAATGGTTAACTGTTGGAACCTGGTCGTGAAATGTTCCAGTGTTAACAATGGGGAATTGTTGGAACCTGGTCTTGTAATGCTTCAATGTTAACAATGGGGAACTGCTGGAACCTGATCGTGAAATGCTCTAGGGTTAATAATAGTATCACAGCAATGACATGTGTCAGTATTTACAAGGGTTGTGTCACAACCAGAAGTGGCTAGATGTGTGCCTTCTTATTGCGACAGGGTTAGTGTTTCATTGTGTTTTAATCATGTGCATCATTTTATGGTATTTGTTACAGAGAGCAAGACCCTATCTTCAAATTGTACACACCACTTCGATTGTCTGAAATGAAAACAACAACTAAAAAAATTCTGATCCCACCAGCTCAACAAGGCAAGAAGTCCAGAAAATCCACAACTTATATCTCAGATTCTGCTGCAAGAAGGAAATCATGTAGAATCACAAACTCAGCTGAGAAACGTGCGTCCTGGTTTGATAAGAAATATTCTAAACCATCTATAGAATCAGTTGAGTCAGATCACTTTAGTCTGAATGATGCAAAGAGGATGGAGAAAGATCAGATAAATTCTAATAAAGAAAATCTGCTCAATAAAGATGTCACTGTGCCTTCAGCAAGAATCAGGTTTGATCAGCATAAGTCTGCAGAATACAGAACTTGTCAACTCCATAACTTGAACCCTGATCGATCACAGGATGTGACTAATTTACAATTGTGTCATACTTCTGCCACGTTTTGGGACTTGTCAGACAAATTATGCGAAAAATCGATTCAACAGCCAGCATGTATAACATGTTGTTTGCCTCAGAAACTTAAGACGATGTCTGATCACTATTTGTGTGACTGCAAAATAGACAAGGATGGACTGAAAATGACATGTTCAACATTAGAGAAGGATCAGTATGAGAAATGCAGAAGCTTCCATTGCTGCTGTGTACTGCATGAAAGACAGAGCTCAACTCTAGACAACTGTGACATCTACAAGCATGAAGACAATATCAGCTTCCAGAACACAAGCATTCCTGAGCTAGTAGTTGTTAATTTAGGCAAACATCAATCACAGAAATGTAGAGATCAGAACATATTTGAGAATCAACTTTTCCACACTGCTGATACTATATTACTTGTAACTGACCTGGCAACAGACAACACATTATCTCATCTTGTTTCTGATGTCTGTGAGAACTCATCTTCATTGGTAGCTGCTCACAGTTCCGCACATACATTGGACAGTCTCTTCCGTCACCATGCTGCTTCAAATGATTGCATACATTCTAGCACAGAACTGAACAATTCACCTGTTCATGTGAAATCTCCACACTTTGTGGGACCATGTCTGCAGGTGACAAGTGATTATTTGAAATCTCCACACTTTGTGGGACCATGCCTGGAGGTGACAAGTGATCATGTGAAATCTCCACACTTTGTGGGACCATGCCTGGAGGTGACAAGTGATCATGTGAAATCTCCACACTTTGTGGGACCATGTCTGCAGGTGACAAGTGATCATGTGAAATCTCCACACTTTGTGGGACCATGTCTGGAGGTGACAAGTGATCATGTGAAATCTCCACACTTTGTGGGACCATGTCTGGAGGTGACAAGTGATCATGTGAAATCTCCACACTTTGTGGGACCATGTCTGGAGGTGACATCTGGCTCTGACATGATATTATTGCCAGCTAGAGAAGATGCAGAGTGGGACCAGTGTACTGATGCACTGTTCAGTAACCAGAACTGTTTAGGCAGTAGCATTCTAATAATGGAACATAATGAGTCAAATAACACAAAGGGACAGTTAAATAAGACACTGCAAACATTTCAACCAGTAAAGGAAACAATAAACAACATCTGTCATGATCACTGCTATACACAGGCTGAAACGACAGTTACCCACCAACTACAAACAAAACTTCCATGGCTACAGACTACAGAATGTACAAGTGAACTTCATGGGACATGTGGGCAGAGTAATGTACTTGACATGAGCATCAAAAGCTCACTCAAAAATATCTCCATTTGCCAATAAAAATCCACATTCTGTTGGCAACCTCAACACTTACAAACAGGCGCACCACAGTTTCAGTCAACCATTCACAGAAGCCCAGTTGCAGTTGAATACAAACTCTGTACAAATCAAGTCATTACATATGTCTGTCTGTACAAGCTGCAGGAGTATTGGCAGCTCTGCACTGGAATGTCATGGGTGTATTCAAACAGAAGAGAGGTCATCAAGTCCTAATTGGGTGTTTGTTGAGCAAGGCCAACAGAGTGGTCTATGTAGCATCAGTGATGTGCCTACTTGTATTCTCAACATGGATGACATGAACATTGTCTACACTGATGCTGGTCATCAACCAGAATTATCACTTTACTTCAGCGATGACAGTGTCAGCGGGTGCACACTTCCTACAGGACCAGCGGGTGTCACTTTTCCTTGGAATTGTGATATTTTAGTTTTGCCAAGCGAACATGAACAATTTGACGAGTGTCAAAACAATGAGGTGCACACAAATTATTGTCTGATTCATGTTTTATAGTCACAGAAAATAGCACATTTTGTTGCAGTCAAGGTCATGTGAATTGTTTCACTTCAGATGATCTCACTAAACACCCAGAAGTACCAGTGACAGGAAAATGTTCTGAGGCTAATCTACAGTACGACTTAGACTCTGTATGCCTTTTAGAAGACATATATTTGAAGCCTCAGGACTCTTTATGCCATTTAGAAGACATATATTTGAAGCCTCAGGACTCTGTATGTCATTTAGAAGACATATATTTGAAGCCTCAGGACTCTGTATGTCATTTAGAAGACATATATTTGAAGCCTCAGGACTCTGTATGCCATTTAGAAGACATATATTTGAAGCCTCAGCAAAATCTAGACAAGAAAGAAGTAGCAAATAATGTCATGAACAAATGCCATCAAATTTCAGAAGTGCTGCATGTACAGAACGGTGGCATAAATGATACGGAAAGACGAGAAAATATATGTAAACAAATGAGGAGACGGAAACCAAGTGTGCCAGGTTGGTTTGGTAAAGGGCTTTTTATTAAAAAGAATCATAAGTAAATAACCAGATAATTTTAATGTGTTACGGATGTCTGGGTCGGCAGTTACATACCAGTATATAGGTAACCAGCATTTTGAAAGTAACCCAACAAGTGTTAGACGTATGTCTGGGTAGCGGAAAACAGTTACATGTTGACCACAAGTAGCATTAGTTCATAGAGAGGAGAAAACAAGTAGCTAGAGAAAACAAGTAGCTAGAGAAAACAAGTAGCTAGAGAAAACAAGTAGCTAGAGAAAACAAGTAGCTAGAGAAAACAAGTAGCTAGAGAAAACATGTAGCTAGAGAAAACAAGTAGCTAGAGAAAACAAGTAGCTAGAGAAAACAATTAGCTAGAGAAAACAAGTAAACCCAGCTAGAGAAAACAAGTAGCTAGAGAAAACAATTAGCTAGAGAAAACTACTCAATGGCAGACTTGCTATAGCAGGGATGTCATCAAAATTCAGGTGTTGTCTACATGCAATACAAATATTCATATGGTGTCACCTTATCGCTGCCCTCATATCTTATCAGTGCCATTAAAACATATTTTATATACTGAATGTAAGTAAAGTTCAATACAGAAACAAAGCCAACCTCAGATTGATTTCCAGTAAAAGCAGAAGTAAGACAAAGGTGTGTTCTGTCATCTTTGCTTTTAATTGTATATAAAGAGAGTATCTACAATAATCAAACAATTTAATGGTTGCTTGTTCATTTTCTTGACATCATTCTTCTACAGTTGTTTTAATTTCATTTAATTAAAGTGTGGGGGCCTCTAATTAACAGTTTGTAATATTGAACTCCACTTGTTAAAAATATGAGCCCTTATCTGCAATCATTTGTAATACATACAGATACTGTGTGATTATATGTTTTATTTTGAAGGGCACTCTTTGCTTTTATTAAGTTTTTCTTTTAAATAAAATTGCAGGTGAATGATATGGAGAGAATTGTTTACACGCATGTGCCCTTTAACCTTTGAGGTCCATTATTTTGTCAGTCTAGTGCATCCACCATAGTATGTGTTCTAATAACAGTTTATTTGATTTCACACATTTAGTTTGGGGGAAAGTGCTGCCATTTCTAATTAATCTACCCTAAAGATCTTTCCAGGGCTCTGTATTTTTTAAATAATAAAGTTGCTATATTGTTTTTTTTGGGGTGGTATCCCTGGTAACGGCGGTTACAGGTCTAAAGGTGGCCCACAGATGAAGGCCAAGAGCTGCACTTGGATATTTGCAGTGACTCTGTTTATGTTCACTCTGGCTCCAGTCGCTTGCAGACTTCTCACTTGTGCACTGACAGTCAACTCAACAGGAGGAAAATGGATGACATTGAACGACACGATGCGTTTGTACTCGTTATTCTCCACTCGCCATTTTTTCAGCCAGTACACAATGAGGTAACAAGTCTAGGTACTCGTATCTAAGATCAGTTTACAAGGATCAATTTTACCTTCAGACGGAAAATACAGAAGTCCATTACACAACAGAAATAGAACAATAACGACCATTCTCCATGATGGGCGAACACACACAATCAGCGCTGGCAGACGGCTTCCGTCAGTTCTTGCTGATGGCCAGGTAGGCGTTAAAAACTTCACAAACACATCAGACGTATACTTGATACAAATACTTCTCCGCTCTACATGCATACAGTTTCTTGGCCTAAATGAGACTGCCCACTTGCTCTTTCTAGGCATTACATAATCTTCTATCGCCTACATGATCACGCTCACATCCAACTTTTCTCGTGTTTTCCAATTCACACGAGTTTCATTTGGTCAACATTTTCTCTGTGCATCTCGGCTTCGTGCTCATTACATTCGAATATCTCATTCATATTCATTGAGCGACGTCATTCCTACTGCATCATAACTTATCAGGGAGAAAATGCTTCTCTACAATATCGGATAATCTTGACTAAGCACACCTCGGAAACATTTATTATTCAGATCCTGACTCAACCCCAGGCATTGCCAGCTTTCTGCAACCAACAACTGACAACCAACAACTGACAATACATTGCTGATTTATTGATGTCTTCCACAGAAGCAAGGATAAATACAGAGAGGTGCTTACCAACAAAAATATCAATGAAGTAGAATATGTCTTGAATAATGTCTTGTTTAAAATGGTTATGTTGTTTTTCTTGCGTTTAATTATGTGCTCAAGACAGTATGGTAATACTAGTGTGTGCAGTGGCTTCTGAGTATGTGTGTACAATTATGGTTCACAAAAGTCAACATTTACCTGAAAGATGCAGGCAGTAAGTGTCTGTCTTTGTAGACAACTACAGGTTCAGGGGAAATATTGTTGTATGTGTGATTTCTATTTTGCGTTAGCACAGCACACTTTTAGTTATTGGGAAATGTCTGCAATTATTTGCATTGTGTGTGTTTGAGGGAGGAGCGGCTGGCCAAAACATTAGGAGTGGAAGGACTCTTATGCGGGGGACCTGAATTTGAATCCTTAGTGAGGCTGGGGATTTTGTTCTGTCGGGTGCACAAATAAAATCCTAACCTGCCATGCTTACAGTACTAGTCAAGTGGCCCTAAATCTTCAGGCTGGAAAACCCCTATGCCTATACTGCAGAAGTGGTAAATACAGGCAGTAGTTGCAGTTTGTATATGAGGCTAGTACACATAGAAACCACATTGAGTAAACATATTGTTTTTGTTGTTGCTTCTTTACAGTCTATTTAGACATTCAAATTAGTTAACTTACTTTTAATACATGTAGCACTGCTGCGAGCTACTTGGGGACTGTGTAACTGGTTTCAGTCCTAGCCCTCTCATTGTTCAAGTCCTTGGCAATTTGAAACACTAGTACCACTGATGTCAGCTCAAATGTTGTCCTCCTGGGCCTGTTGCAGCATTCCACCAGATTTCATGGAGATTTCACATTATTTGAAACAGAATCACACACAATCTTTGTTGTTGAACATTTCAGAAACAGCCTTCACTGCAACAAGTCTAAACATCTGACTACTATTTGATGACTAAACATCTGACTACTATTTGATGACTAAACATCTGACTACTATTTGATGACTAAACATCTGACTACTATTCCACTATTATTAGCCTAATGGTCAATATTTCTGGAAATGATTATCCACACAGATGTTGCAGATTAATTTTGTAGATTGTTTGATACTGAATGTTATGTTGGCAAGAATTAAAATACAGTAAAATGTTTTTTTTTTTTTTTAATTTATTATTTTTTAAAATGTGTTTTATCACTCCTTTTTTTTCTTTTGTTTGCTTGAAATAGATTATCGATATCTTCAGTGTTGTCTCTAGTATGAACTTCACTCAGTGACCCGTAAAGTTTGACTTGCACCGATGTTTCTCTTGGCCAAAAGTTTTGCCTTGATATGTTGTATTTGTGACAGTCTTGGAGGACATGATCTGGTATATCCACATGTGCACATGGCTGATTCGCCAATTTTAAATTTTGAGTACACGTGGCTGCGAAGTCGATTGTGTCCTGTTCTAAGGCCTAGAATAATAACTGTTATTGGAAAGGATTGTTTTATGTCAGCATATTAGCATATTTCAAGTTTAGTACATACAAGTTCTTCATGAGGGAAAGCTAACAGATACATTTGAACTGACAGGGGTGTCTTTTGTCACCTCTCCTGTTTTTACTGGCAGTAGATTGGATGATGAAGACAGCAGCTGCTAACACAAAGGATGGAATTCCCAATAAAACAGCTTGAGGATCTGTACTGTGCTTGTGATATTTCTCTTATGTCCCACTCACAGAATCAGATGCAAGATCAATTAAATATACTAGATGCTGTATCACAAGAGCCAGGTCTGAAAATCCATAAAGGAAAGACAAAGATAATGAGAATAAATCAGGCAAATAGTAATGTGGTTTCTTGTAATGGCATCCCACTCCAAGACGTGGAGTCATACACATATTTGGGCAGTAATGTAGATAAAGATGGGGGAACTGATAGAGATATTAAAATATTAATACAAAAGGCAAGCTTTGATACCGCTAGGGAATTTGTGGTGGTCACAAGAAATTGAAACATTGATTCTGATGTCAAATCAGTACTGTCGTATGGAGCAGAAACAAGAACAACCAAGGCAATTACAAATAAGCTACAAACATCGATTAACTGGTGCATGTGCAGAATAGAGGGAATTAAATGGAATGATACAGCCACTAATGTAGTGCTTTGGGAGAGAACAAAACAAGTTCAGTGGACCAAGAGGTGAAGAAAAGAGGCTGGCGTTGGATAGGATACACGTTGAGAAATCATGAGAACAACATGCTGACTTAATCTCTTCTCTTCAACCTTGGGGTGTAGAGGTTTGCCAGAGAGATCGCCAGACGTCTCTATCAGCAGTTTTCTTTCTGGCTTTGTTCCATTCCAGTCCTCTGTCAGTTAGGGACTGTCGGATGTTGTCTTCCCAGCGCACCCTCGGTCGTCCTGGAGGTCTGGTTCCCTGGTTCTTAGCCTCCCACGCCTGCCATGGTGACCGATTTTCTCCCATTCTGCATAAATGTCCAAACCATCGTAACTGTGACTGATCCACTCGGGTTTGTAAGGACTGGGTATCAAGATCTTGACGTATTGTCTGATTGCGGACTTTGTCACTTGGACCACCTTTCTCAGATATCTCATTTCCGAGGCCTGCAGCTAGCTTCTGTGAGCTGTTGTCATTGCCCATGACTCACACCCATAGGTCAGGACTGGTACATAGGTAGAGCGGTAAACAGCCATTTTCGTCCTCTTGCCAATTTCTCTTTTGCTAAGAAACCCTCGGTTTATGGCCTGGAAGAGTCTCCCAGCAGCTGCATTTCGTGTAGCCAGCTTAGTCTTAATGCCTCCATTTCGGTCTAATACAACTCCAAGGTATTTGAACTGGTTAACCTGCTCCAGTGCATACTGTCCCATCATGATCTGGTGTTTCTTCTCCTCTATTGAGATCACCATGGTTTTAGTTTTGGAGATACTGATGGTCATCCCTCTCTTTTCAAGCTCTTCCTTCCAGACAAGT